TGAATACGGATCATCTTACACTGGAAGCACTATTACAGCGGGGCAATATTGCTTTTCATGGCCTCGGTGAGTCGCGATTGACTAGCAACGGAGTACTCTCCCGTGCACAACGTTGTTAGATTTTAAAATGTGGTTTTGTAGCTATCGAATTTATATGCAAAATTACATTTATTTATATACAATAGGAAACACAAACTGGTTGTGCAGCAGTTCATTTTCTACAGCAACGGATTTACCATACTTGAGCTTGTTCGCGCAGACAAAGACTGACAAAATAGCGCCAATCTGTGTATCCCTGGGCTGTGGAAACGATTTACTTTGATTAAAGCGGTCTCAGACCAGTGTAGCATTTGACTAGCATCAAGAGTTGTTCAGACAGATTGTTCTGGTCAGTATGAATAATCAGACAAACATCAGTTCTGATGTGGCAGTAGTTAATTAAATGTAGTCATGAGCAGTGTGTATGAGGGAGGCATAGGAGAGCACAAATCGGCCACTACAATGTGATAGATATTCACCTAAACTGTTAGGATTAATATACTGCATCAAAATATTGGTTAAATTATTTTACCGGTTCTAGATATTTTGAGTTTGGTTTGTAGATGTATTATATATGTCCTGTATTATACAAGCAACTATGCGTACACTTCAGCTTGAAACAGTGTTTATTTATACATTAGGATGAAAGCAATGAAAATTTCATATAGAGCAATAAGGAAACATAAAGTGGAAGAGTATCATCAGCTACATTTACAATTATTTGTTTTAGGACTTTTACGTGTTAGTTAGAGTACGAGCATAAATAAGGTACTTTTGAATTACAGTAAATGTTTAAACGGGATCCTATTGGAGCCTGGGAATGGCGCGCAGATAGGTCGGGATTAAGCGGGCGGTTGGAACTGATAATAAGCGTGTATGGGCAAAATTCTCACATGGGGTTCTCTGAAAATCACAGATTTATGATCAGATTATTTGTGGAAAGAAGTGAAAAACGACTCATAGTTGGAGACTCGCGGCGAACAGTAATGAAATCCTTTTTAAATGGGTCAGAGGGAGTCACAGGGAAAGAGTAAAGAATGATAGGAAAGAGACACTGATAAGTCAGAGAACATGTGATTGAATACTTCAGTTTAGATTTTTTTCAGCTTGTATATTTGGAAGGATAAGAGACGTTCTCCAACAAAACGGGTTTGTACATGCGAGGACCGTGGCAGATTGCTCTCTTTGGTGAATCCTAGTTACTTAGTGGTGTGTTCTGGTAAAGAGTATTCAGTTGAGAATTGAAGGTTTTAACGGATACTGAGATCCGGAAAGACTAAAACTGCATTCGAAACATTTAAATGCATACAATTAGAGTTGAGATCCGTTTGGAAATATTTGCATTTGATACAGAAACACATCCTCAGCATACTTAAAGATCTTGATTGATAAGGTAACGGATACGTCCTTCATGCACATTGAGATTAAGTATGGAGAAAGCACAACACCCCGAAATAATGATCTAAAGTGATTTACGAAAAAGACTGCTTAGATGGCACAGTAAGTACCGCAATACACAGCTCAGATGCCGATGCAACGTAAATGCTGCATCCGTGAATGTTAGAAATTTGACACTTTGATGACGTCCAAAAACGTCCTGACACTAGTCAAAATTTGAAATCGATTTATTTGTTTCAGTCAACAATCAGCTAGGAATTTATTCATTTCATATCCGGAAAAGCATGGAGAACAAGAGGACAACTTCGGTTTTTAGGACAAGTTGAAGCATAAGATGATTGATTTCAAGAAGAAAGTTCTTAAAAAGCATTTCGCATCTGCCAATTTTTGAAGTTAAAGATGGATTAAACCTACCAGCCCATCTCGTTTAAAAGTAAAAATATTGCGTGCTTAACTATGCTCCATTGAACACAGAAAGTAATTCTTCTTCTCTGAAGGCTAATTCCTCTTTAGAAGTTGATCGCTGTACTAGCTCCGTGGATTTCATAAAGCAGTGAACCTTATATATGATTCTCTCTAGTGTTCTGATTGGGAGTTTCGATTCTCCTGCATTTCTTTTCCTCCTCATAGGCTAAATACATTCAACACATAGTGGATATTTTTACCAATTCACCGCAGCTAATTACTGTTTTGTCTCTGTTACGAATGACCAGTAATTGTGTAGCGTTTCTGCGTTCCTATCTAGACTTCACTTGCATCGGACTTTTGATAGCACCCAGGTGACTAAACTGGCGAAAACTATTCTGATTCAAGTCAGATTAATTCAACGGATAAGCAAACCTTTTGCTTACTTAGTAGCTTTTTGAATTTGAGAAATCACGGGAGTTTGTGATTCCTTAGTATGCTATCTTAATAGCATGGAGGGTTGATTTCACAAAGCTGTGGATTTTCCGTTGGACCCAGTTGGTCCTGGCAAACAATGTGATTGTTCTGTCCTTGATTTTTGTCCAGTTTGTAAATGGATCCACTCATTTTCTTGTGACAAACTATTAGTTGATGAAAAGAGAGTGAACTAAACCGCATAGCTAAGCATTATTATGGTTTGATGACGGGGACTGGAGTTGGGTTCCAGAAACTTCCTGAAACTAGTAAATCACATAATGGGTCATTAGGATGGGCGTGGTCAGGCGACAATAGAGCTATTTGCTGTTTGACTGTAGTTCGGTCACGGGGGTTTCAAATCTCGCAGTTAACCGGTGCGCACACACGTGTGTGGATGTGATATGCACTGACTCCAACCACGGAATGAGTTCCATTATGGTACGAACTGTTTTAGTGTGGCACAAAACTACTCGAATTACAGCTGTTGCAAAGATGATATAGGAAACAGCCCTTCCATTTCACGTTCAAGAAGTTCTCTTTGTGCTGTACACCTTAAGAGCCACTCTGAAACTGTAATGAATTCCGCTGTTCTACGCTTTAGGCGTTGGAAAAGTAACGCTTTTTCAAAATGAACACAGGTTTTCTTTCGGATGTTGAATATGGAACTGATTAGACCGGGACGGGAAATTGCGTACTACTGATTGTTTGGATCAGCCCATTCGGTTTTTAACAAGCAACAGACACTGTTGATGCTGTTCGGTGTGGGTTTCACTCCCTGGGAAATCGTTAACTTTCCACTATTTAAATGTATTTTTTTAAACGCGGTGGAAACCGGTAGAAATCGAGCTTAAATCCATGGTACAACAAATAAGTGATTGATGTCAGCAAACTAGGCTGCGTTCCTTCGGTTGGAAATAATTTATCACAGTTGACCAAGGGAACAGTTGTATAACCGATGAAAAAAAAATCCCAAAGAGAATCCTCTATCGCGAGCACAATATTTCACGATAATTAAGACAATAGTATTTGGGAACTGTGTAGATCATGCGAAGTAAAAACCAGTTTTGGTAAACCACTGAAGTAAACAAATTCAGCGACCAGGTTCGAAGTTTCACAGTAACAGTGCTGTCATATCCAATCGTATGGTTGTAGCAAAAAATAAACGGCGAATAAGTAGTTGACAAAGTTCATCGGGTCTCACCTTTCCATCCCTTTTTTTAAATAGTGGCCACCTAAAATTCGATTAAATAACTTCCTAAGATGTTCTTCTAGTGCATTATAGTTTACCTTGAAAAAAATGTCGTTCCGGTTGTTCTATATACAAAGATTAGGGACATGGCCATCAATAGTGCCTGGTGCATCTGAACAGTCGAATTGGCTAATCCATACATGCACCGTCTAAATTGAATGAGCCATTCGTGCAAGGGGCTGCGCGTCGATCGTGTAGCTCAGAGGTAAGGGTTTGAAATCCCGACCGAAATGTTCGCGGTTCGAGCCCTAACAGGGACACAAAAAGTACGCACTTCTGAC